TCAGGAACTGGCATTTATGGAACCCCATATGCTCTAGGAATGTAAAGCAGTGAGACTGGGGTTCCTTCAAAATGGCTGTATCCCATGTTTTCTCACAGGAGAGAGAGTGTCTTTCCAAATTTTACATGGGAGCTTGCCTTCTCCTATAGGCCTGAGCTGGCTGTCGTACAGCACACGCTGGGAGATTAGAGTCTTCAACAAGAAAGCAGCCCACTTCTTCTGGCCAACAGGGAACCACTGACCGCCTGACTGCCAATTCTTTCTGTTGCCTGGAGATCCCAGATACTCCGGAGTTTATCAGGTGGGGAGCACGTGGGCTACAGGGCAGCTGTGGTGTCTGATGCAGAAGTGCCTCCACTTCCTGCTCATTCTGCCCTCCTCCTATCCCTGCTCTCTGCCATCACAGAATGCTATGCTGTTCTTCAAGCTTTCCCAGTCTTCCTGGAGAACTCAATCTGCCTGGTCATTAGAACCTCCTGCAGAGCGTATGACTTGGAAACGTGAGCTTTCATGATTATCCTTTAGTGTTCTGACTGGGTATATGTAAACATTTATGAAGTTCAAGTTCAAACTATGCAGACAAGACACTTTAGAAAACTGTCAACTCTCTTGTCCCTTGCCATTTCGGTCCACTAAGCACCCTCTGACAACTTATCTTGTTCCCATCCTTTCCTCCACCTGTCTGGTCTTTGTCAGTTGCTACTGACACATGGTCATCCTTTTCCTGTCTTCTGGAAATGACCTGGTTGCTTTTAGTGGGCTGCCTACATCATTCTCCTTGGGTGCCTGTTAGGAAGACCATCCCACCTGTCCTGTCTGATGGGCAATTAGCATTGGCAAATGATTTGTGAGAAGAGTCCTTGCCCAGATGCAAAGTGGTATTGATGGGCTGAACCTTCAGAGAAACTCCCAGAGCTAGGCCTGAGGGTTTCAAGAGAAGCACAGTAAGTTGTTACATGTTAGGGAATTCCCACCTTGCTGTATGCCAATGTGATATGTTCAAAAACTGAAGTACTGTGGCGAGCTAAATTCTGGAATACTCATTTGGTACTGAGAAGCCTGGATACTACTTTTCCATAGAAGGCTGAATTTAGGACTGTCCAGGTAGAGTTCAAAGAATTCCATGTTCAGGTTTCACACATACCTAGGGCTGAAAGACAAATCTTCTAAAGTCCTTGACTTTCCCACAGACTGTCAACACAAGCTACCAGCACTAGGTCTCATGAATGGTCATTCACTTGTAGCTAACTTTTCATCAACCTTTCCTTCTAGCGTCCTTTTTTGTCTCATGTGCTTGCTACCTCCTGGCATATGCCATGCTCCCCTCCGCTGATCCCTTGTTCTCCACCAGGTTCTGGGACAGAAGAAAGCCTGGATGCTGCTGCCATGAGCTGTCTGCTGGCATGTACGCTGGAGAGAAGCTGACTGGTTTGTGGGCTTTTCCTGACGTCAAGGTGTCTGCATGGTGAGACAGGCCAGGTTCCTACAGTCCCGAATCAGTTGTCATGACGTACCACACTCTGTTCTACTGGGGAAGGAATAGGATAGGAAAAAGGAGAGCAAGCATGGTTCAGCGTTGGCTTACTTCTCACTATAGTCTCAGGGATTCTCAACTCTGCACCACATTTGTTGTCGCCAAAGGTGCAGCACAGGCTCACTGTTTTATGAGTAACTGTTCCTGGGCCGGTTGATGAGTTGGGACTGTCCTCACTGGATTCTCTTTGTAGACCAATCTGTACCTCTATTTTCATACCTGCCTTCAGTCTGACCAATCATATGATTCCTTCCGGAGAATATTCCTCCTCTTATCATTTTCAGTAAACTCATCAACCAGATGCTGGAATTCATGTGCCATCTCTGAGCCCTCCTGACCCAGTCCTGACCCACGGTGGAGCTCTGTCATCATTGGAGGAAAGGATCCAGGCTGATTCAAGACAAACATCATCTATGAACATTTATCAAGATGTAATAAGATGATCTCAGCACTTTGACTGGTAAGTAAGTCTAAAATGTATTCCTTGCAACCCTTATTGGTCGAAGTAGGGGAGAAGTCTTCTGAAGTCCTTGTAGGATATTGGGTACATGTCTCAGAGGACATCTCTGGACAGTGGCATGTCTGCATTGTCTCATCATTTCTTCATGATGCTCATCATCATACTGGGACTTAAAGAGGACACAGTACAGGAACACTCTAGTCTATGATGCATGAATTTGGCATGTACACAGCAGAGCAGGCACTCATGTGAAATAGTATTTGGACATGTTTTCCACTAGGTGGAAGAGCCATTTGTCCACTGTCCTCATCCCTGGATGAACTGACACATGGGTCTCTACCCTTCTGATTATCCCTGCCCTTGTGATTTTCTCTGCCCTTGTGGTTTTGAGCCCCAAGGATGGCAACTTTTGGTGCAGGTAGCTCCAGGACCTGCCTGAGTGCTCTTTGCCTTGACTTCTACAGATGGATAACACAGGTGATGTTCCCTGGAACTGCTGACATGATCCCTGCAGAGGCAACGTGTCTCTTCCTCTCCTGGGAGTGCCTGGGTTCCTTACGCAGTCTGCTCACTTATCCCAGTCCTGAAGCACTCCCACACCTGCTTCTCTTCACGTGATTACACGCTTACTTCGACTTTACGTGTGTCCATGGGAACAGCCCAGGCTAGATATTTCAGTTCTCAGCCCCATTTTACATGCAGTGTAAAAATGCCTGGCACTCAACACCAGAAACACTGAGGGCTAGGACCCTATGACTTCACACAAAGTCACCCAGTATGACTCTGGATAGGCAGTATGGCAGAAGTCAACTCTGACATAAATAGCCTGATTGACATAGGATACACAGAGAGAGAACCCACAGTTCCTCTGTCTCAGTGGCCTTCTGTTTTCTGTTTGTCTCTTTGGCCAACACTTGAAAGAGTCTCTGATTCTTCATGCTTTGAAGTGAGTGGTCTCAGAAAGGAAGGACCACCAAAAAGCTCAAAGTTCAGGCTACATGAACAAGTACAGCAATGATGTTTTTTTTGTGATTGGTGAGCCGCCACACTGCTGATAAGAAGGACAGGTGAGTATGTGCTAGGAACATATCTTCTGCAAGGAATATTGCTCCCCTCACTTTACACGAGCTCCTATATATTGTTATGCAGATTCAGCTCTGACACCAAACATCTTGGCCACTCTGATGTCCCCAGATTAGCATATATGATGGCAGCTGAGAGGCCTGCCTATTGTAAGGATGAATGACTTCTTTCTGAACCATTTGAATAGCACCTTCAAGGAAGAGAAAGGTACAAGGAGAAAGGCTCATCAAGTTGCAAGAATAAGTGTTCATCAGGAATTCCAGGGTACAGACAGCCTGACTGCCTGAGGTCAGAGGTTACCTCAGAATCCTAGAAGAGACAGAGGGCTCCTTTCCACAAAGGAGAAGAGCCAGAAGTAGCCTCTTGTTGAAGCTATGGCGGTGAAACTTTTAACTCTGTGGACACAAGACTCAGAAGTATTTTGTCCAGCCATCTACAGTCCTTCTCACATCTCACGTGGCATAACTACCAGTGAGGCCTCGCAAGTGTCTTGTGACACACCAGCAAAGGGACTTCTGTCCTTTACGGGGTCTGGAAATAGGCTGGACACACAGTCTACATTAAAGCTGCACTTCTGTACTTTGTGTTATTTTCCCTTTTTACACTGGTTTCACTGGGAACAAGGAACGGAGCCTGATGTTCCAGAATCCAGTACCGTGAAACTCAGAATCCCACGGCTCAAAACAATACAGACATCATTATGGGGTGAATCCAAGCACAAGAACTCTGAGGTGGGAATTATGCAGATCTACAGATCCAGGATGGAGGAACACTTAACCTACAGAGAATCCTCCAGGGATTCCAACATGGTGGTGGCATTAAAGAAAAGGAGCCAGTTTGGCCTACACGAGACACGTATCTAAAAAACTAACATAACTGAGTGTGAGTGCCCTAAAAGAAAGCAACACGATGTGTATTTCTGCCATCACTGAGGGGTCTGGGCAGAGCTCTGAATGTGGTCCCTGTGGACGGTACTCTGTGAGGAGAGGAAAGGGAGTCTCCCTGCTGTTTTACCTTTCTAGCTTCCTTTGGGGCTAAACCTTTCTCGAGATTTCTATCTCAAATTTTTCATCCTTTGAATTACATGCGTCAATGTGACATTTATTCCAGTCTTTTAAATTACCATACTATGTCCTACTTTTAAATTTGATTTCTATTGAAGGATTTTTAGCTTGGGCTGAAGAGATGGTTCAGCGTTTAAGAGCACTGGTTACTCTTCCAGAGGACCCAGGTTCAATTCCCAGTACCCACATGGAAGCTCATAACAGTCTGTGACCCCAGTACAGGGGACCTGACACGTTCACAGTCATACAAGTAGGCAAAATAGGCTGGGGGGGGGGGTGGCTCACGCCTTTAATCCCAGCAGTCGGGAGGCAGAGGCAGGTGGATCTCTGTGAGTTTGAGGCCAGTCTGGTCTACAAGCGCTAGTTCCAGGACAGGTTCTAAAGTTACAGAGAAACCCTGTCTCAAATAACCAAAAACCACATAAAATAAAAATAAATAAATCATTAAAAAGAAAGAGAGACAGAGGCCATGCTTTAAAAAAAAAAATAAGACTCTGGGTAAGGAACCGTTCCTAAGCTCCCCATACCCTGGAGTGGTCTTTCTGAGGAGGACCCCTGAGACTTTGATGTCCAACATCCAAATAATTATCAGGACTTTTGGAGCAACGCTGTATTGGACTTTGTAAAACTTCAGTCATTAACCCTAGCCAGCCTGCGGGCAGAGGATAACACACAGCAGCAAGAGTGCGGGAGGGGGACAGGCGACAGCAGGAAGACAGCTCCCATGGCCTCAGGGGCCCTAGCCTTGGCAGGCCAAGGCAGCAGGACCAGGGCCACCTGACGAGTTAATGGCGGTGACCCACCCAGACTTCAGGCCCCCACCTCCTCGCAAGCCTCCCTCCCGAGCCCGGGCGCGTACCTGACACACAGCAGCGCGGAACCCTCAGAGCCTGCAGACCTGCAGTGCGCGCTCCCCGAGCTCCGACTCCTTCCCGCGCCGGTCAAACAAGTACACGGTCCTGCAGTCATCGACGCCTCCGCCTGTCCCAGAGCCCGCCGAGAGGCCTCCGGGATTGCTGGCGCCCGTCACTGCCATATTGCAGTGAACACCCCACGGCCCTCCCTCGGGAGCACTTCGCGGCGACGCCCACTCCGCGCGTGCCCTCGGCTCCAGCAGCCATGGCTCGGGGTCTAGGCCAGCGGCGCAGCACCTCCTCGGCTGCGGCCTGGAAGCAACCCGGGAACCGATTCAAACGCTCTCTTGCCGGGGTGCCCCGCGTCACTTCCGCGACCCGCAGGGATGCGCTGTGCGCGCCTCGGAGTCAACTGGCTGCGCCCTCCGTCACCCAGGAGAGCCTGGCTTCCTAATGGCTTTTTAACTAGAGAGCAGGAGGGAGAGAGCGGTGGGCGGGGCCGGCGAGTCCCAGAGGCCACAGGGAGGGGCGGGGCAAAGCGGGGTTGCACGCTGTCCCCCCCCCCAACACACACAACGCCACGCCCCTAACAGGGCGGGGATTCGCGCAGCCCAAGACCCTGGGGACCAAAGACAGAGGAAAAGCTCTCCCTTTGCCCCAAGGACTCTTGCCACTTGCAGGCCAAGGAAGCAGGACCAAGACCTTCTGACAAGTTTATGGCTGTAACCTAACCGGGTTTAGGGCCGCCAACCCCCACCTCCTGGCAATCATCCCTCCTGTGCCAGGGGAGAACCTGACACACAGAAGCACCGAGCCCCGCATAGCCTATGCAGTTCGAATCCAGCAGTGAGTGCTCCCTGAGCTCAGACTTCTTTCCGCACCAAACAATTACACTGTCTTGCAGCCAGCTATGCCTCCTTCCCTCTGATACTCTGACAAGAGGCCTTCAAGTTTGCTGGCGAACGTCACTGCCTTATTGTGGAGACCAACCCACGGCCCTCCCTCTTGGGCGCTTGCTAAAATATAGTCTAATGATCTTATTCACACACAAACACACACACACACACACACACACGAATGCAAAGGTATGTTTAAAGATAAAAAAGAAAAATGCGAATAATGGTAGTCAATGAACAGCTTCAAAATGGGTAATTTTTTGCTTTGTATTTCTCTTTATTTTTTTTTCAAAAGCAATATACGTTGAAAATACTAACAATTTCAAAGAGGAAATTTTTTTCAGAGTATCCATTTCGAAAAATTCCAGACTAATTTTTGGTGATAGTTGGTATTTCTGCTAGATTACTTACATTGCTCTACTTCGAATATTGAATTCACTCATGGGCAGAAAGCAGGTTGGGAATACCCATTACAAGGTTACTCCTCCCGTAACAAAGCTACGTCGGTGCCTGTGCTGTGTTCTGATTTGTGTAGAGACCTTTTCTCCCATTGTAATGTACGATGAATCTCATGTCTAATCCATGAGAACTTTGTTTCTACTTATATTATCTTCCAGAGGATTGAGAGCAACAGCCCACGTGCTTTACGGCTACCAATGCCATCATGCATGCTCATACATACATACATACATACATACATCATACATACAATGCCATGAATGCTTCTGTCACAGTTCTTTTATTTTCAGTGTCCAGTATCTTAGCTTAACAGGCAACAGTTGCTGTGAAGTGAAATCCAGAATCCCGCGTTTGTCAGTTCCTCTTTTTACTGAGCTTTTGACTTTAAAAATTTAGCAATATAAATCTGTATCTCAGCTTCTATTGTCAAGCATTCATTCTCCTCTCCACAGAAACACAAAACATTCTGATCACTCCCTAAAGGACAATTTCCTCTGTGCTTCTAAGAAGTTTATTAAAGATTGAAAGAGTTTGTAAAGTAGAAGCCGTGCATGTCTTTCCTTTTCCTGTTTATATTATAGGAAATCTCTGCCGTTGCTCGGTGACACTCATGATTTGATATGAAAACAAAGCATCACTGGTGAGCTGTACCCCTGAGTACCTGGTGATTGTTGTTTGACAGCTCAGACGTGTGACCTGCTCCCCTTTGTTTTGGTTTTCTTGAATTTTAATTTGTCACCCTTGGGATCCTCAGCAGCATTCCAACTCTGCAGTCCTTCATGAATTATAAACGACGGGCATGGTGGACTGAACTTCTGCCCTGCAGTGAGCATGAAGCCCGAACAGAGGCTGCCAGCCTTCTCTGTCACGTTGTCTGCTATTCCGTCTGCACAAAACAGACCCAGCCATTGTCTCCTGCTAGCCTAGAAAGGAGGGCTGGAAATTTGGTTTTATAGATTAGCTCAGCTAAAATCACTTTCACAAAATGTGCAGCTCCCATGCTCATATTCTTTACATGGTACCTATGGAATATATTTCCCTGGGAGTGATTTTTAACCATGAGTACTTCTCTAAATATCTTATTTATCCATTGATTTCAGTATGTATGTATTTGGCACTGGTTCTAGTTTCTTTTCTGTTGTGATAAACACCATTACCAAAAGCAACCTGGGGAGGAAAGGGTTTATTTGGCTTATACTTCCAGATCACAGTCCCTCATTGAGAGAACTCAGGGTAGGCGCTCAAGACAGGAACTAAAGAGGAAACCACAAAGGAACGTGGCTCACTAGCCCACTCCTACATCTGTGCTCTCTTAGCTTTCTTATTCAGCCCAAGCCAACCTGCCTGGACTAATGCTGCCCACCGTGGGCCAGCCCTTCCCTCATTAATCAAGACAGTGCCCCAGAGACTGGCCCATAGGCCAGTCTGATTTAGACAACTCCTCAGCTGAGGTTCCCAAACCCCCAAAGACTCTTCAATTGTGTCAAATTGACAGCTGAAGATACCTGGAAAAATTCCTACAAATATTATCTAGTAAAAATATCAAGATTTGAAGAGGCCATCACTCACCTTTTCTGGTAACAAGAGCAAAGAGAGCAGGTAGTAAGAGCACTGAAGGTTCAGAAAACAAACTGAATGCTATTCTTGTAGACATTGTGTTCCATACTGAATTGTTTGAACATTTTTTTCTCTTTTATAAGTCTTTTGCTTATATATTATGGTTTCCGAGTTAGTGTTTTTGTGGGTGTTTTTTATGTGTAAATTTCTTGCATTATAGGTCTCTCTGTGTGTATGTGCAGACAATTAAATTGTTCATCTTTGCACGGCTGAAGTACTCCTCTCCCAACACACATGCACACTCACCCACACACGCACGGGCAATTCCGCTTAGAGAACACCTACCTCTGTGAAATTTGGCCAAGACTTTAGTGTTCCCCACTGTGAACAGCTTGCCCTCAGAAGACGGAAACGGGTCCGAACAGAGCTGTATTTTAGTGTTCTTAAGAACACGCCACACCGCAATTTAGCTTATTCCATGCTGTTAGATTAAACCCAGACTCCTAATGTAGTAGAGTAAGACAAGAGAGTCTCCTGTGAAAGGAGGAACACACAGCAGCAGCGACAGAAGACCTGAGTGGGTCTCCCTGGGTCATTAATTAATCCCCCTATAGAAATTTAAGTTAAAAGTGAAATCTGTTGTATGACTTATATTCTAGTAATACTGATGGCTAGGACCTCGCCTCTCTTCCTGCTCACTCTGAGGCAGCTGGTGAATTGAGCAGCAAGTGCATAGACGTGAAAGTGTCTTCTATTTCATTCTGTATTTAAATCACTTCACCCTTCACTTTGTGTCTGTTTCAAGAGCCATGGAATACAGGACACCACTGACTACTGGACCATCCGCAAACCTTTAAAAGCACAGACCCAACCCCTGACCTAGAGCAATTATCCCATAATTCATATACACAGAATTGATGCCCAATAGCCCACCTATCAGCTACCAATATGGAAGAGAGGAGAGCTCGTCAGTCATTTAAGGGATGTTGCCTTAATTTTGCTTGTTTGTTTTAATGCTTACTAGGTGGCCACCTTATCTTACTGATCTGACTCAGTTTCTCCTCAGTACTCCAAGGCTGAGGCTGTAGTCTGATGGCTGCCACACCCTTTGCTCACAGGACACTCTGCCCTTGACATAACAGGACAGTTGTTATGACTAATATTCTTTTTTAAAAAATGCTGCAAGATCACCACTGCAGTAGGCAGCAGAGAGTAGGTCCCAAATGGTGGTAGCGGGCCATGTGGTGGCAGGCAGAGGGCTCTGGGAGCAGCCAGTCCTAGGCAAAGATGGCTGCTGGTCCCTGAGCAATGGCTGATCCCAGGCCATGTGCAGGGAGACACATGGCGGGTGGGCAGAAACATGGATAGACACTACGTGCAGGGTGAGGTTGAATGTTTATTCAGGGGGTTATGGAGGAGGAAAGGTGAAGGGGGGCAGAGAGAGAAGGAGAGAGAGAGAGAGAGAGAGAGAGAGAGAGAGAGAGAAGAAGGAGGAGGAGGAGGAGGAGGAGGAGGAGGAGAAAGAGACAGAGAAGGGGGGGGAAAGCAGAGAAGTGGGGAGAGAGGCAGAAGCGAAGCTGCCTCTCCAAATAACTAGAGATTACTTTTTGTTCTACCAGAGAGGAAGATGGAAAGAGAGCGAGCTCAAGCTGGAGCTGAAAATCAGCCTGCCCCAGCGGATGGGGGAGGGAGTGGGCATGGCTTGTCTCTTAAAGGGACCAAAACCATAACAATGACTTAAGTTAAATTTCATGCGAGTACCTGGATGATATTTTGGAAAGTCTGTTTATGCGTTATATATTCACAATCATGTGTGTTTTGTGTGCAAAGATTCTTTACCCTGAACTGCATTTCCTCATCAAACTTACACTGCAAACTCTCAAGATGAAGGTGATTTTTTTCCCCCTCTGACTTAAATCTGTCCTTCAGTTGTCTTTAAGAAAAGACCACATAGAAATAGTTAAGGAAATTCTTTCTTGGCACTTTTTATTTCATATTTGCTTTCCACATTCCATTCCCCTTTTGTGGTTCCTCATCAACTATCATGCTAATGCTAGTTCAAGGTGTCAAAGTAAGTTTAGTCTATCTGTTACACAAAACCTCTTAAATTACATAAAGTCACCTAATCCCCAAATCTCCCATTTTATATGGCGACTTTTTCTATTCATCTCTCATATCACAAGCTTTCAGGAGCATTTATTTTCCTTTAAAAATATTTTGACTTATCCATGTTTGTTTGAGAATTGCTCAGAAAATCACCACATGACTCCAGAGTGTAAGTTACACAGAGGACTGAGGGAATATTGTTCTTGGTTGTGTTCACACCATCATTTCTGCATCTAATATTTCATTAATCCCTTGACCCTGTGCAAACAGTAAACCCATGTCAAGTCCACATCACACTCCTTATAGCTTGTCACATTCGCTGTGTCCTGTTTTCATGTGACATATGTCAGGACAAACTTCCCAGGTCCCATGTGGCTGAAGTTCACATGTTGAACAGAC